ATACAACATAATTGACTGGTTCGCAGTTTATAGGAACAGTAAACATGCTTTGTAAACAAGAAATATGTCACTAATTTTATCATTCATCCACTTTGTTTTTTGTTATTGTCGTTTGTTTGTTATTTCAGAATATTATGGGGGTACAAATGCTTTGGTTACATAAACTGCCTTTGCACCACCCGAGTCAGAGCCACATGCATGCCTATCCCCCAGACAGCATGCACCGCACCTGTTAGGTGTGAGTTTACTCATGCCCTCCTCCCCCTCCCACCTGCCCAACATTGATTAATGTTTCATCCACTTTTAAATGGTTCCTTCCACCCACAAATACAAAATATAAACCAATATAAAAATGTGATTAGACAAAAAATTTAAAAAGGCATATTATCAACTTTGAAATGCCTTTCAATTTTTTGGAGCCTCTGACTTGGGAAGATATGGTCATTGCCTGCAATGTTTAGATCACTTTGCTCTGTCCATACTTATATCTAAATCAATTACTCATATAAATTACTTTTTCAGTTCTATAGATAATAAAGTTAGTTACAGATATCTTTAAAAAAGAGAGAGATGAATCTATCCATTCATTGCTACATTCAAAAAATATTAATTGAATAACTACTATGGGACCTGCACTATTTAATGTATTGTGATACAGCAGTGAGTAAATAGAACCTATTCCTATTCTCATGGAATTTGACATATGGTAAAGTAGATGATCAATAAACACAAAATAGATAATTTTATGTATATTTATAGCTCATAGTATTATAGTTATCATGAAGGAACTAAATTGAGTTCATGTATAGAAACATCAAAGTTGCGTGGAGGAGGTGCAAATGAGATGGGATGGATGGCGGAGTTCTCTCTGAGCAGTGAAGTCTTAAGACCTGATGATGGATGAAGAGAAATCAGCTATGCAAAAAGCAGGAGGAAGCATGGTCCAGGGATAGGAAACTGAATGTATCAGGACCAGTGGTTGAAAATTTTTCTTGGTAAATTTGAGAAACTAAATGAAGACTGGTAGGGACATGGGGGGAGGAGAGGGAAATAAGGTTGTGGAAGTAGACATGGCCCAGACTATTAAGAGTCTTGAAATAAATGCTTTTCATTTCACTCTCAAATAAAACGAAAAGTTTGTTACAATTCTAAATAAGAAAATATCATTGTCCGGTTATAAAAATATTTTTCTGGACTTCCGGTTTCCAGTGCATCGTGTAAAAACTGGGAAATCATCACTGTAGAATAACTACAAAAAGTGTAGCATACACATAATGAGACTATCAGAAGGAAAAAAGAGAGAAAGGAACAGAAGAAATATGTGAAGCAGTAATGATTGAGAATTTCCAAAAATTAATGATAGGCACTAAAAATCTTAGATCCAGGAAGTTCAGAAAACACTAGTTAGAATAAATACAAAAAAAATCTACAGCTGGGTATATCACGGTCAGCCCACAGAAAATCAAAGAAAAGAGAAAAATCTTGAAAGAGACCAGAGGGAAGAAAAACACCATACCTATAGAAAAGTAAAAGGAAGAACTACGTCAGACTTCTCTTTAAATACCATGAAAGCAAGAAGAGAGTGGAATGGAATATGTAAAATATTGAGAGGGAGAAACCTCTCCTGGAATTCTATATCCAGCAAAATTATTCTTCAAAAATGAAGGATAAATTAGTATTTCCTCAAACAAACCAAAAATTACAGGAATTTGTTGCCCGTAGACCTGCCTTGCAAGAAACGTTGAAAGAAATCCTTTGGAAGGAGGGAAAATGATATATGTCAGAAACTCAGATCTATATGAAGAAAGGAAGAGTATTAGAGAAGGAATACACAAAGGAGCAATATTACTCTGACCATAGTGTAAGGAATAGATAGGATGAGTAAAGAGTGAAGCAGAGACGTAAGCTGTGTCATTGTGAGAATGGGGACAGCTTGGAGGACTGTATCTGGACACTGTATTAAGAAAGTCAGAGTACTTAGAAATACTCTAAAAGAAAGAGCGAGTGAAGAATTGACAAAGTGGTCCCTTTCCCTATCTCCATACACAGCCAAGACAATTAGGCCAATATGAATATGTCTTCCAACTCTTAAAGTATTATAACAGGGAGAAAATCAAATGGAATGTTTATGGTATCACGCATGAAGTTGGGTAAAGAGATGCAGAAAGTATCTCTGAGACAGCCATTCCTGCTGTAAAAAAATGTGCAGTAATTTGCAGGAGGCACAACAGAGAAGGGGAGTAGCTTATTCAAAGTCTCTGAGACCGAAAAAAAACACAGTTTTGTGACATTTTGAACATTTGAATGAAACTGAAAAATGAGTGTTCTGGAACAAGGTAATGGAGAGGATGGAAACAAATGTTGGTCCTAGATATTGAAGATTTTATTAACCTCGTTCAGGAGTGTGGACTTTAGCATGTAGGCAATAGGGAGTCATAGAAATCTGTGCTTTACAAAGAACTTAAATGAAAATATGAAGAATCCATTAGACTTATGAACTCGAAATAAGATTTAGTACATTAATGGACCATTATGTAAGAATGAAAATATCATGAACCCTCAGATGTGATTTTCATTATTTTATGTTGATTTCATGGTAGACTTTACCAATCATCTCAAACAAAATATATAACTTCTCAGCAATTTTTTGATCTCAGTCCATTGAGCCAGGCAACTACATGGAGATGTGACAAGCTTAAGGAACTATTAGTCTACACAGACACTGGAAGAAATTATAAATAGAATTAAAAATAATAATTTAGGACACACTTCAAGTAGGTATATGTATTGGGCTTCTCTTGCACTTGTCATCAAGATATGATAAATTGGTTGATGATACCAGTCTTCTCTAAGTTACATATCCTGCATCTAACTTACATTTCAATTACTGATGATTAATGATGGGATCGTATTTACTTTGCTAACTCTAGCTGCAATAGTGTCCTAGTTACCAGATACATTTCAAAAGTAGTTTTGCAGAGATAAAAATCTATACTTACTATGGTTAAAAGGAAAGATTTTAGTTTTCTTTTTGAAACCCATATGTACCATGCCTAAATGCTGAGGAAAAGAGTTGGTTATCACTTGTTTTCAAATTTTACAAAGGACAAAAGAAGCTAAAAGAAACTTGAACTAAATCATGAGGAATGTAGGCGAGGTGCACACACACAAAATATTTCAGCTGGGAGTTATCAAGGTGAGAGGAATTTTCTTTGGAAGCATATAAGTGTTTGAAAGGTTTCATTTATCTGGTGGTCTTAAAGTTCTTAGAAGAGATGGGAAAATGTCAGAGAGACTTCTGAAATTTATCTCAATTCTCAGTGACTCCAATCTTTTCTGTTCTTTTCTACCAGTAACAGGCCTTACATCGATATCAAGTGATTTAAAGCTTTAAGAACAACATACTACATTAATTTTGAAAATTCCCGATGTAAAATGTCAAACATTTTTCTTCCTCTGTCTGAAATAAAAAAGGTGAAATTCAGAAGACAGACCTTACATCTGCACCAAATGTTATGTTTTATGTAAATAAATAAAATATCAAACATGTATCACAAGTGCGATTTCTCTCTCTTTGTTTCCTCTTCTTCCTCTGTTCTTACTTGCATGGATGTGTGATATCAAAGCTCTATAAGCATTTTTTAATATCTTTTCCTTGGGAAAAAAAAAATTCATCAGTCTTCCGGATTCTTCAGTGAGCAATGCCAGGACAATGGGAGTATTGTGCAATGGGAAAGCTTCCACCAAAAGGATCATCAATGATGATCTAAGATCTAACTACTTGGAATCCTAACCCTCCTCCATTCATCATCCACTACATTGCCTTTGATGAACTGAGAGGAAGCTTGAGAAGAGATATTTCTGGTTTTGTAAGACAAATGACTCCAAGAAATAGATATGTGTAAACATGAACTCACAACTTCGGAGAAGAATCCAAAATAAGGGCAGAAATTGTTTGTTTCATGGTGTCCAAGTAAGCACTCTTCAGATATCTTTCTTTGTGCAATATTAAAATTTTACTTAATTCTTGCTCAGTTTAATTGTGTGAAGATCACAGTCTCCTAGTAAATTGTCTCAGGTGAAGATATTCATTAATTCTGGAATGCTAGTGCACAAGCTGATAGCTATTGGTATGGTGTTTATCCCCTTATTTGAAAACCACCAGTAGGAATGTATAATATATTTATTAGTAAAAACAAATATGTCACCAATGTTACCACGTAGAAACAGTAAATGCATTTCCTCAAGTCTTTGGAAATCAAACTCAACTTTTAAGTAGGAAGGATATTAAGTTTTCAGGGTGGAACTCTTTAAAATGTACTCTAAGATGCATATATAAAATTTACCATCAAGACAAATATACAGACAGCAACATCACACAATTAGATACTCAGCTGAGTATGGAAAATAGGGAATGGCACGAGATTTTTGTCTAAAAAATTCAATAAGTTTTTATATATGGAAGCTATTTCAGGACACCAACACCACCTTCAAGCATTGCAACATTACGTTTCTTCTTGAAAGATGAGGACTGTACCTTCCTAACTATGTTGTCTCTATTAGATAATGAATAGGATAAACATCCATTCAAATAGACTCCTTTTAATCACACATTATAGACAGGTGGAAACAGAACGGAAGAAAAGCAGATAAAATACACAAGCAATTACATCACACACATTCTCAAGCCTGATAAAGAGGAGAACGATTAGGATTGCAGATATATAGAAGATGCAGACTGAACTACTGAACTTATTTATGGATGATTTGGAAATCATTTTCACAGGCAACTCAGTAATGAACTAATGAAATGTTATGATGCAAATTGATCTAGAACATGGGGAGGAGAGTCTGGGTATGTAGCCATCAAGGTATATAAGCAATCTGATCTAGTTTTATGGAGACTTAGATAAGTTGCTGTTGCACTTGAGACTCTACCATGTCATCCAACATCTGCTATTCTGGAAACTCTAGCTTTTCTTCTCTTGGGAGTTACCGCCATGCTCCTGTCACCTCATCCACTACCCTCTACTCTACTGGTATGAACCGTGGTGATGCTCTGAGGTTGCCCATCCAATGCCAAACTTGGCTTCCGAGCAATTCCTCAAAGACATGTGGTAAACCTTCCAATTACCAATCATCCAGCTTATGCCCACAACCTATGAAATTTCTTGCTACCCTTCCACTGCTTACTATATCTTCAGACTTTGCCACCCAACTACCTGTTTTCCCATCAGTTCTCATCTCTTGAGTTCCTGCCAAACATCAAGGCATAACAGACCTCAGAGTTATGTGCGTCCAATAGTTGCCACCCCCAAGCCACCTCTCTTATGGCTGTGAGCCACTGAACCTTATCTCTTGTGGCTGTTGTTGACCATTGAATTTTGCGTCCGGGACCTGCATCCTTTGAATGAACTCTCCCATGGTTGTCAACCTCTAGGTTATGCATCCAACAGCTTCAGACCCCTGCACCATGTGTCTCATAGTTTTCAACCTGTTTCCTACATGCACAGTAGTTTCAACCAGCTTGCTCTTCTTTT